ATCTGTATTTTGTTGAGCAACCCTGGTGTGCGATTTTATAGAAATGACCCATGAAACGCTTTTTGTCTCAGTTGTGTAAAACATGAATTACAGTGACTTATTTACCTATGAATGGCCGTCTGTCCATCACCAAAGCCAACTGCAAAATAGATGTGACATGCTGGATTAAAATAAAAAAATAAAAACACATTTACTCACATGATTAAAATATAATTCCTCTAAGTAATAACTTGCACGACACATTTTCCTCCTGAAATTGTATTGCCTAATGCTGGTCATGCAGCTCAGTGGACGGGGCACAATAATGTGGGTGTGGTCTTGGGAGTCTTTGCTTTTTGTCTTAACTGCTGCCGCCAGGAGATCACGGGTCATTTTACAACATTAACGTGAATGTCTTTCTGCAAACACACCAAACTAAATTTAGTAAAACCAATCAAGGTAGTTTAGTCAAACACAATTAATCCACAATGCATCATATTTTCTAGACTATTAGAAATACTAGAAAAAGTAAAGGGAATTACACAGCCAGGAACACACACACACACGCACACACACACACACACACACACACACACACACACACGCACACACCCCTGTACACATGGACAAGTGTAGATTTAAACAAACGAAAGAGTGAAGGGAGGAGAATTGGATTCAATGTGTGTTTTCAAGGAGTGGGTGTGGCGTGGTACGGCATGGGGCCAGCTGATTGGCCCGTTTGAGTGTACATAAGGCGCTTTGATTGGCTGGTTTGCACCACAATAGTAGTTGAGATTGGTGGACAGGAGGACAATGACCGTGTCATTGGTCGGTTCTGAGAACAAAAGGCTATTTGAGCATTGAGGCAGAAAGGTGAGGAGGTCACCGTGTGTCTGTGTGTGTGAGTGTGTCATTGTGCGTTCGTTTGGAGTCTATTACGTATTATGGGGTCCTATTTCCTATTTTCTATAAGAGTGTTGGAGAAAAATAATTTCTGTGTGAAGCATACTGTAATAAACTCATTTAAAAATCTGATTTCTTGCGTAGGTCTGGGTAGTACTTGTTACCCATTTTACAAACAATACTGAGCAGCACTCTGTGCTGCTGTTAAAAGACTGCAGCTCGCATGTCTGGATGATACAATAACTGGCTGAATCTGACTGAAATGCGTTACAATCCGAGCAGGCTGATCCACACATTCATGAGAAGGTGGATCCTGTTCTGATCTTTGACAGGCGAGAGTTAAAATGAGGCGAAAAAAACTAATAATTGTTTATAATTAATAATATACAACATTTGGAATTTAATTGGTCAGAAGAAAACGTGAAGAAATGTCTCAAATATATTTTTCTCCAATCCAAAAGAAAAGGTGTGTGTGAAGGGCTAGTGATGGACAGCAGAGGACCTTAGAGGAGGACCTCTTCTACAGATGCAGTGTTTTTATTTCTAATCAGTTATTGGCCAAAATGCATAATAGTGGTTTATTTTACTGACTTGCCTTACAAACTGAACTATTACGTACTTTTTCACTTTGGCTGAAGAAAATGCTACAGGGAACTTGGTTGTTCTTAGCACAATGCTAATAAAGACCTATGGAACCTATTTTACTCAAGTCTATTCTATAATTTAATAAGTTTGTAATACAGTCAGCGTTGGCGTGACGGGCGTGCAGAGCAGCAAAAGATTCACATAATCTTATAAGAGAAACTATAACATGCAAATTGCAAACAGCTTTAAACACACCCCAAGAAAATTGCATTCCATTTTATTTCAAAATATCACGCTGTGACCTTTTTTGGCATGACTGCTGTCTGCTTCTCAACAACAGATAAAAGACATACTGCAGGGTCCTTTTGCTTCACTAAGAACTCCGGGTTCCCACAGTGAGCTCCTCTACCCTTTTGATGCTTATGTGGGCTCATTAGCTGCGAGTAATTAGAATGGTAAAATTCAATTAAATCCCAACGCAGCTGTATTAGCTCGCAATACAGTTACCTCAAGATGCAAAGTACAGGGAGACGTGGCTCTTAATAACTTAGTTTACATCAGATGTTTCCTTCAAGAATTCACAGAATATTTTTTAAAGGCTTGGATTACTGAAATGTCTGAAAAACCTCCAGCAGTGCAGAATGAAGATTCTCTTAAAAACCATAGAGGGCCGACTCTCGTAGGGCTCAAACTCACAACTGTTAACCACCACGGAGCAACATATTTCATAATTTCTGAAGAAGTCTAACAACCAAAAATATTATGTCAGCAACATGTGTGTCTGAATGAATTGTTGGACTTCTAAACAGCCCCATGAGAGATGATTCAGAGGTTGTATGTTTCATGTTACTACTTGTAAAACATTTTTTGGGGTATAAACACAGCTGTCCCTTTTGAAAGAAACCATTTTTTTGTGGCTTTGCACACACCCAATACCTGAAACCAATACAATGCAATGACCTATGCCAGGGGAACGCACAGGTCACTCTGGGGACCTGTTGTCTCTTTCTTTTCACGAGGCATAGTTGTAGTAGTCTTTGACCATTTAAATGAGTTATTAGTTATTCAAAGGTTGTCGACTAGTGCAGACTATGTTGCTACAGTGACTACTTGTAAATGTTGGTAGAAATCAGTGTCCTGTTTGAAACAATGGAATGTTGGGTAAACAAGGAGTGAAGGAAATTTGACCAAAGTAATAATGCATTAATTTCTTAAAATAATAAAAGGTAAAATATATACCTTGTACTTGTTTGATTCCTTCTCCAAAGATTTATTAACCTGACATATCCAGATTGGGCCCTATAGCTCCGCCCACTGCGGTTTAGCTCCACCACCAGAGCTAAGCGTGATGCTAATACCTCCATACGTACTCTCCTAAGCTCAGTGGTTTTAGCCCAGTGGACCATGCAGAACGTCTTACCCGAGGCCAAGAGACACATCTGTCATCAGATCGCCATGGGCTAATCCTCCGCAGCTCTACAATGACTCCAAAGTATCTCCTCACCATCTGAGAACTGTTTAAACTATTTAGCTCCATAACTGCTTAAACACCAATCTAGTGAATTTAGCTGCTAAGGGAACGAAGAGAGCATCATTCCAGGAGCGTGCCAACTTTAGCTGCTTAGACCCAAGTGAGGCTAATAGTCTGTGGACAACACCACAAGTACCATCTCAGGAGGCCCTTGCTTCGGGCCACGGCAAAAAATAAACAAAGGGAGGGCATGGAGTCTTAGAGGGGCTGTTAAGTCACAAACTGTATTTAAAAAGAACATATAAAACAACACGAGAGACAAAGGAAACAGGATACCTACGAGAATCATGAATTATTATCCCCTCCAGCTTCAAGTTGGGAAGGTGGACAAAAGGGGCCATGACGACGTCATGAACACAGCTCAGCGAATAACTAACGCTGCACTTGGCAAGATGTTTCTGTCCACCCCTGAGCGGGATGTCCCGTCTCTCAAACCTGAGGAGGCAGCAGAAGCAGCTTGGATGGATATTTCCCTGAATTTTAAGTTCACTCAGGGCTCTAAAGTCCATTTTTGACTTTCAAATGAAGAGAGGAACTCCCTAGGTACGTAGCACATTATCTTTGTTACAGCTCATTGTGGCCGTAAATAGCCCCAGAATCTGAATCAGAGTCTTATATTGTTCTTCTGCTAAACCTCTTTTTGATATACGGTGCATGCGTAACTGTAACAACAAAGGGCTTAATTTACATGACTGCACAGAGATCAATGCAACAATCCGCAGCAGGCTGTGTGAACGTGGACATTAGAGAGCATACGTGTACACACACACACACAAATTTGCTCTGTCCTTCGGTGCTCCTCGGATGTGTATGTTTTAAACGTGTCAGTGTCTGCATGTGTGAGCAATCAAAACGTTATTTGCCGTAAATGGTTTGATCGTGATTCAAACCTACTTAACAACATATTTAATAAAGTTTCCATTAGGTGTCTGTCAAACTAATATATGGACATTCTCTCACTAGAACCTCTCTCAGCCTCAAAAACTGTCGTAAAAATGCCACAATAAACTCCCCAAAAAACTTTCTCGGGCAGTGTGTTTACTCACTTATGAAGTAGAATGCTATTACAAGTCATTGCAGTAATAAATCCCTGTAATCTGCTTTATTGCTTAGCAAAATGAATCAATGGCCTTATAAGAATTCATAAGAATTAAACACTAAAACCGTATCCATAATTGTCTATAATTGCATTCATTCTAGTGCACATTTCTGTTGTTTTTATTATTGTATTTTCTATACTTAATATTCTAGTGTAAAACTGTCAGCTGTAAAACTGCCTTTTTTGAGTTGATAAGCAGCACAGCTCCACATGTGCTATATTATGAACAATGACAATATAAACTTTTCAAATTATTTTGCAAACAGTAACAGTCCTACAGTAAAATATTTAAATCGAAGGGAAAATAAATAAAAAGGTCTGTAACAATTCATTTAAAAGTTCAAGTTGGAAAAAGCATGTGTTATACAGAAGAGGACACATGAGGACAATGAAATATAGACGACCATGTGAAAATTCATTTTAAAAGTCATTAACCAAAAATGTAAAACAAGTATTTAATTTCTGTTTTTTTTTTTATATATGGTATGTATTGTTTTACATATTTATTTCACTCTTTGTATAAGGTGTATAATAACTTTAATTATTATTATCAAGCACTATATGACATGTTTTTAAAAAGTGATTTAAAAGTTGTGAGACGGACAGAGAAGTTGTATTTATGTTTTAATGACCAATAAAGTAGGCAGGAAGGGCCACGTCCCCTTCCAAAATGAGCTTCACTTTCGTGCGTCCTTCAGTAGATCCTGTGAACATACAAATAGTTTGAGGGATCTTTGAATGACAGAAAATAAATAGTAAACGTAAATAAAAGACATATAAGTTTTTGCCGGATGTGAATGATCACTTTATTATGCGTGAGGAGGTGAACTAGGGCACATCAGAGAAGGTGTTGGTAAAACAGGAAAGAAAAACAGCTTCCGGTGAGCGTGAGGAGGTGGTAAGCGCAGGTGAGCAGCTGCAGGTGCGGTAGTGAGGACAGGTTCGGAGGGGGCGTGGCTTGTACACTACCTGTAGTAGGGGGGTTCGGGTTACCTTTCCCTTTTTAGTCGCTAGTTTGGGTTTTCCTGCGGTGGACTGCAGATGAGTCCCGTCTGCAGAATAATTTTGTCTTCTTTTATCAGTTTATTACAAGTTCAAACTTCACCTGGATCACCGGAAGCGATTCTGAGCATTTGTTTCCTCAACAAGTCGGTTTTTTTTCTTCCTGAAATGAGCCCATCCACTCGCAGCCGGTAAGTCAATATTCACACAGACGGGAATCAAATCACGTTTACCGTCACACACCGTTTCAACTTCAGTCGGTTCGTTGTTTTGAGCGTTTTTTAATCTGCACGGAAAGCAGTCTCTGACGTCACTCAAACCGAAACTCCCATCGCCGCGGGTTTGTGTTTTATTTTTTTATTTTTTTTTACAACATGGTGTTCGGAAAGATTAATGTGAGACAGTGACGGTAGTAAGTTAAACTACTGTTCAAGAACCGGTTTTTATTCAGTACCTGACATGCTCTCCGAGGAGTGTATCCAGTGTCCTGTCCGCGTGCCCTCGGGATAGAAGTTCAGAGAGGCAATGTTAGCCGTGCATGTGTCCCCCTGTTGCCATGGTTACACATGCAGAGGAAGCCTATTTTTTCATTAAGAAGATGTAGTTTGAGACCTTCGTGATGTGGCTACTATCTGTGCATTGTTACCATTGTTTATCATATTAATATCTAATAGCGTGTGTGGGCTGGTATTTGGGTGATACTTTCTAAATGTACTAATGATTTAGTTTAGTTTTCTTGCTTTCTCACTAATTGAATATCCAACACAATGATATTTTTGACTATATAGTAGCAGGTAAATAAATAAATAACCATTCAACCCTGCTATCTGTTAAAAGACATGTTATGAATGGAACGAGCTGAGTGAAGGAGATCGTCGGCTATCTCCTTGTTCGTGTGCTGCATTTGTTGCTATATTTGTAGCTAACCTTCCTGTGACTTTCTCACAATATGTTACTATGGAACATTATCAATCACATACACATGCAACACAAACGACAGTATCCTGGGTGAAAGTCGTATGTTTGTTTGATCAATGAAAGTAGCCAGATATGCTACGTTGTTTGCTCTGTGCACCTCTCTTCAACCTTCAATTCATCTGCGATTAGTAAAAACAAACGTCATGGAGACTCGGCTGACAGACTACATTTCTCCATTTCACATCATTGAAAAGTTAATATTTTCAGGCTTAGAATAGTTTGTCGGACAAAACGAGACTTTGGAAAAATTGACGTTGGACTGATTTTTAATTTAAATATTTCGTGGCTTCATCAAGTTGCAGTACGTTCCCTGGAGTCTCCTGTCTTTACCCAGCTCAGCGTCATCCACCACACGCTGAGACGAACGCCCTCCTGTAACCGCCCCACAGCTTCTGTTTGGTTGCATTGATGTGTTCTCTCAGGCTGTGGAATGTGTCGCTGTTGTTAAACAGTCTCTTCACCCAGTGACAGCAGAACAACACTGGGACCTGTTTCTGTGATCCTCGGCCACACCCGAGCTGTAAAAACAATTTAAACACACGGCATGTCGTAAATTGTCCAAAAAACCCAATGAGCCCATGGACGCTGTTTTTGGTCTTCTTTTTTTTTTGTGTCCCTCAGGACAATATTGCATTAAAACAAAATTTCAGTCTGACAAAGAAACCTGATGAGGCTAAAAATAATCAATGGGCACAAATAAACTCTGGAGCACAAATTGGATCATGAGGTTGAATGTCCTGTGTTTTGCATGAACAGATTATTTTGTTAAACCATTGTTTTTGTGCTGAAACCGAGGCGCAAACTGACGGAAATAACAGAATGAACCAGGATGATGATTTGTCAGTTTTCCTCCTATTAATATTTTTATGTCTTTGTTTGATAACCTGCTAAGAGAGCTAATCTTTAAGCGTTTACTGTTGAGAAAACACAGGAGTTTCGCTTAAGTAAAGTCAGCACGTTGTGGGCGTCAGTAAACTTCCAAAGGGCACAACTGGTTCTCCGTGGTTATTTTGGTCTATGAATGTTTGAGAAGACCGAGGCACGGTCGGCTTTTTCTTAGATCAGATAATACTCATACTTCATGCTGACAAATGACAAGCAGCATTGCTCTGCTGCAGTGAAAGAATTATGGAGGATGCAGACAATAATGACTCCGGTCACCCCCCCCAGTCTAAACCACCTCTTTGCTAGCTAACATCTGCAGGCTGATGTCCCCGCTAACGGCCATGACCACACATACTGTTGTTACAGCATGGCCCGCGTCCTTGCCTTTTATAGCGGCTGGGGCCTTCAGCACGTCAGCCCTGGGCCCAGATACACCTGCTTCCACTGCAGGTCCACCGGGCTGCTGAAAGCCAGGCAGAGTTTTCTCTGTATGGTTTATTGCCACCTATTGGATGGCTCAACTTTTCAGATCACTTTAAAATAAGCAACAGTAGTTTTTTTTTTTTTCTTGGATGTGTTTGATTGGTGAAAGCTGGAATTGGCTGAGAAGGGTGTTGTGTGTCCCAGTAACTCATGCAGGATTCAACACGCCCATCTCATCTACTAAAGCAACAACCATCCCTCTATGAAAACAGCCTCAATGCACCTTTGACTAAATGCAAAATGTATGTTTCAGCCTCTCATAACTACCGCATGATGCTTCAAAGTGTTGCAGCAAACGTTGAGCCAGGTTCAACTCTTTTGCCGGCCGACCCTGCATCATATTCTTCTTATCGGGACCCTTCGGCCTGTTTCCTTATGACTTTTATGGTTTCCCTAAATCTATAGATTGGGGGACTGTACCATAGTGGAGCCTTGGAACCAAATGGGGTTCCAACCTACTCTAATGTAAACCCATACATGTCCGTATTAGACGGTCCGTGCAATGTTCGTAGTTTTAAAGAGCGAGGGAGTCCGCTATGGGTGGGACGAATGGAGGGGGGGGATGTATGGGACGAACGGAGGACTCTCACTTTGCAGAACATTGGTGGGTATTTACTTGAACGCCAACCATTTAGTGTTAAAAACACATTTTTTTCCTGAGAATAGCACTTGAGACGGAATAAAACTGACATCCTCTCGCGGGGTCTGAAATATCCTCCAATCGGTTCCTGTCATCGCTCTCTGCTCGCTACGACCTCAGTCTGTTTAATTCACTGCACTGTGCTGCTTTGTGACGCCACTTCCAGCTTAGTTAGTCTAAAATTTAAATCTGCAGAGAAACGTTGACGTATTTAGGTCATGCGATTAGGATTTGTTGAGTGAAAAGGTTCCTGACACCTTTTTTTTTTTTTTTTTTTTAATCAGCAATTTCAAAGTTGTGTTCGGCCTGAAACTAGATTTGACATAATCACGGAGTTTGACTTTTACTAGTCTGATTTACTTTTATAAGTCTGAATGTAATGAATGAATGAAAGCTGTATTTTAAGGCCACAACACTGGGAGGGAGGAGTTTTACATCAGTAAAATCAGCACCTTGTAGTGAAACTTTAATCCATGTCACCAAAGGGCACAACTTGTCCCCTGCTGTCGGTGTTCATTATAGTGGATGAAGGACTGGGGCAGGGAAGAGGAGCCATGGTCTGTTAGATCATCTTGCATCTTTCCCTCACCTTCAGGCCGTCTCTTGTCCATGACACCAGAGTGTTTTACAGCAAAGCAGCGGGGTTCAGAACAACAATTTCTTGACCTCTACTTGGGACCTTAGGGGCAAGTATGGACGCTGTGTTAGTTTAATTTGCTTTGGTTTAGGAAAAATCTCAAATTAAAACATGTGCAATTTATTGAGAGTTTCTTATGCATGCTCTTGTTTACGTCCACCATCTTCAACAATCTGATGCATTGAAAACCGCAGCGTTTGATCCTTAATCGTTATGCAATGAAACCGGGAACAGGAACTAATATCGTTACCAGGAAGGGAACATTTCCTCTGGTCCCTCTGGTTGAAATGTAACATGACGTGGAGTCGGTCTCACACATAGTCTTTTCATGAGTTTTAATGTCAGCAAAGAAAAACCTGAATCTCTCTCTTTTTTTTCCCCTGTAGCTCTTTGAATCTATTTCCCCTCTGTCAGTTATTTTAAGACACTCTCCAGATTTTCTCACTGTCTGTTTCCATCTTTTCTAATTCTGCGTAATTAGATATCCGGTGTATTTCATACTCCACCCACCCCTTCTTCTCTCTGTGACAGGCGGTCTGTGAAGGGGACAGAAAGGTTGTTTGTTCCCTGCCTGCCTTCTTTTGTCCATATGAGACCATAGGATGACTCTAGGGAGGAGGAGGAGGAGCTGGAGGAGTAAATATGCAGCAGAAGGGAGGATAGTTTGGTCTGAGCAGAGACACAGGTGAGCCATCAGAGAGGCTGCTGTGGAGACACTGAAGTGAACGTCCCCGAGGGGCCGATACTCCACTTGGACAACTACGCTTGTTACTACAATGCAACATGTGCCGTGGGACGCTAGTTTATCTGTACATCTGTTAAACAAGCACATGCCCGAAAACCAAAGTGTAACCTGATTATGTTTCGTCCACAGTCTCTCATCCACACTGCTGTGTTTACACACAAATTAGAAACCGTGTCTGCAGTCTCCCTGTTTGGCTCACTTTGTTCTGGTAAACGTCTCTGCTGGAGGTCAGAGAGAAGCAGTGATGGATGTTTCCTGCGTCACACACTCGCATGACTTCCCACATTTGAGTATGTGCAATTAGCAGCAGACAGAAAAACGGACGCACGCACACGACCAAACGCATGAGATTTTAAGTGAAAGGCTTCATAGATCCAAACTGCGCACATACTAAATTCTTAGACCGATTCCTTTTAATTTGATTGACAGAAGGTCACTTATAAAGATGACATTTTTACGTGAGCTAAATGTGTTTGTCTTGTATGAAGTAATGAACCTGCCAGATCCACAGCCCTGCTCTTCCCTTTTTAACAAGGTTGCAACGTACTGAAAATGTAGTAGCCGATAAGAATGCCAGTGCGATTCCACTATTCTCGATACTGAAATGTAAAGCTTGAAAACGTAATCGAAGTCCGTTGGATCTGTGATCTATCCAAGCGGGACTGTGCTGCCTCTCCGCTGTTAACTAGTTTCTATTGGACAGCCGCACACTGTGCATCCTGAGCCTTTTGCTCTTGAACACTCGGCAAGTACGGTTTTGTCTTCAGAACTTTGGTATTGAGCGATTACCAGCCCTCACTTTCCTGTTGTCAGCTAGTATACTGCAGAAAGAGAGAGCGACTATTACATGTTGCGACTTCAAATAACCAACTTGGTTTGCTGTCGTCTTAATACTTCATACCTGTTTGTAGACTTGATGAATTTCACCTCCTTTAGTATCCAACAGTATCTTAACGTCCTTTGATCCGTTTGTCCTGTTTTGTTTTTTCTCCATGTCTCGACCTCAAACACTTTGAGGGGACGAAATAATTAGGATCATCTTAATCTCCCAAATGATGTTTAATGCGCTCAAGGGCATGTAAGCGCAGGTCTGTGTGTGTCTCAGCTGTGCAGCTGGTGGGGGGGTTCATTGACTTCGTCTCAGGACACAGACTCATTTTATCCAGTTTTGGTCCTCCTCAGCCAAAATATAAACTCCCCCTCTGAAGCGGGCGCTCTCTAATTCATCTCCGGCCCTCGCTGCGGAGCGTTCAGGAAGCGATGGATTGCACCGCTTCCATCCACCGCTCGCTAAACTGCACTGATTTCTGTTTCCTTTTTTTTTTTTTCACACATAATCACTTTGGAGTTTACTCAACATCAAGGTGAGAAGCAGATTCAAGTTTTTCCCTTGTTTGCTTTATACATGCTTTATACATGCTTAAATGGATAGTGAAATGTAACTTTAAACAGTTGCATACACTGCACCAAAAGTATACTTCATCATATTCCCTTTCAATGTCCCTCACTCTCCATTCACTGACAGATGGATTTACTTTGGCTCAGGACTCGGGCACAGTGGGAATATAATACGCTCTGAACTTGTCCCTTTTATTCAGTTTATTCTACAGACCTAAAAATGCAAATCCACCTCTGCCCGCCACGCTAATGAAGCTGCTTATGAGCGCAGCTTCACCCCCCCAACCCCATCGTTATTTAACTGGTACTTTTCCACTTTTCTTTCTCAGCACATGGACATTATTTAAATGGCCGTGAGCTTAGTCTTCAAAGTCTTTGCCTCTCACCTCAATCTCCTCCACGGCTGTATTTTACCATCCGCTCTAACAAAAGCCATTCTCCTTATCTTAATAACAGGACATCCCGTCGTCTCCTGGTACGATGTACAAAAGAGGAGGCGGTATCCTCGACATCTCAGCCAGGAGGAGTCTTAATAGAGAAGATGAGATTCCCAACTGATTGGTCGCTCATCTGTTTTTCTTAAACAGATTAGCAATTTGCAAACTGTCTCTTAAACAGAGACTTTAAGATACAGAGATTTATATATATATATATATATATATATATATATAATGTAGAGAAATATTTTGGTATCAAATAGAAACCTTAGCAAACAGGGTAAAAAAATAAAACACTAGCAGATTTCTAGAACGTACTGTTAAAATCAGGCCACTATCACTTTTTGACCTTTTATAGGTAGTAATAGCAAGACTTTTGATTCAATCAATTAAAGCAGAAGCACAGAGGAACTTCTGTTAAGCACTGTACCATACCCTGCATATGGCCAATATAGTTCCACCATGAGAAGTTTAATCCTTTAATGAAAATTGTTCTTCAGTTTTTATCTTTTTGAAGATTTGATGATGTTTGTCTTTTGATTTCCCCAATTCTACTTCCTGTTGAAAGAGGATGTAGAGACAGTGGAATGACCAACATCTGACCCTGTTATATTATGTATCCGAATTAAGAGAAACAGAAAATACTTTTTAAATGATGATAGAAAAGGACAGAATATCTCTATGGTAAGAAAGTGGCGAATATGGTTATGTCTTATAATTTAGAATAATGAAAAAGGTTTCATTTTGTAAACCGCAATTTTGACACTTTAGCCACATTCCACCTAACCCTTCAGGCAAATACTAGGGTTCCTGTGGACCTCAGGTTGGACCTTTTCTCTCATTAATGTTGGATACAGAGTAATTGGACCTCAAGGATTCTTACAATACAAATAAAATGAAATTGAGCAATTTTGGTTTGTTTTAAAAAAACGTAAATCTGACACGCACACAAACGGTAATAATATTGGGTGATGAGGAATCTATCATACTTCTCTGCCAGCTTATTTGTCCAACTGGAGGACATTCTTTTTGTTTGTCCTGTCTGGCTCATCTAGTGATTTTTGACACATCACCTTGTTTGGTTAAAGGATTACTTTGTGTGTGTGTGTGTGTGTGGGGGGGGGGGGCTGTGAAATGTAGTTATATTAACGGTGTGTGTGATCTGCATTCGGAGTTGGTCATTTTTTTGCTTCTTGTAGACTAGATGGCTTTGGATTCACTCTCGTGTGAATACTTTGCTTTCTTGGGTTTAATGAAGCTACATTTGAACTTAGTTCCAATGCATTGATTGCGTGCCGCGTGGTCCTGTAACCTGTAGGTTTGGTTTAGCCCTGAGCAGCAGCTGCACATCTGGTCTGGAGCTGAACTTTTTCTTTGGTATTTGTGTCTGTGAATGAATAAAAGAAATGCGTCTGCATAGGTTATTCACAACAATGCGTGTAGTCCTTCAGCTCCTTATTCTTGGACACTACAGGCTGCAAGAATACGTTTCACTGGCCCTCTGAACCCATCTGCTATTTTACTTGCTGCTTTAAGCTGACAGTGGCGTCTTGTTGTGATTAGGAGACAATGACGAGGTTAGAAAGTGAGATAGAATTCTTGTTGTAACATTCTGTTGCATCATATTTACCATTAGTCAAATATGCAATTTTTAGCCAAAGGGTTTTCTGAGCTAAGTGGATTAAAAATATCTCCTGTTGCCACGTCGTTCCTAAAGTCCTATATACTGGTAGTAAACAACATTTATGTTGCAGAAAAACCTTGTGACACACACGTGTACTCAGGTGTTCATACACACAGTGAATGTACGTTTGTGCGCAATAGCAAGTGTTTGAAAGATTATGCCTTGGTCTGCTTAGTCTCCTCTAGGGTGGAGAATTTATGAGGCTGGAAGTTCTCAGGTGGATGCACACAGAGAAGACCGATAAAAGCAGGAAGGGAAGGAAGTTGGAAGTCTGCATGTTAATGGGGCGACACTGAACTAGTTGACTGAAGAGACAGTGTAGTAATCACGTTAATAGTAATCAAGTGAACGCGGCATCCGCCTCCTTTGGACTCTCTCAACTGTGAAATGACTGCAGCACAAAACATTTCCCCTTTTCATTTGGCTGCATTTAGCTCAGCCTCCTAGTGAAACGTCTGAGACCTAATCGGTGTCTCTTCTGTATTCTTGCCCAGCTAAATGTAGTACCTTGACATGTATGCATTATATAATATCTAGCCGACTCTGTTGTTTGCCGGTATCCTAAATCTCCCCTGCCTGCTCCACCCACAGCTTCCACGAGACGCCCAGACGTTGTGCAAACTCGTCTCCTTTGAGTTTGCCTTGTGTGACTCATCTTTTCAAATCATTTTACATGTGATTGCCGTTAATTGCAGAATCATAGCAGTGTCATTTCTCTACTTTTTATCCAGATAACATTTTCTTATTGTTGTAAAGACAACAAGCGAACGTGTCCTCATCAGCAGTGAGTCTCCGTCTGGTTGGTCTCAGCGGGTTGAACCGTTCTCTCCCCTCAAATAAATTGTACTATACATGTCGACGACACCAGTGTTTCTGTGTGTATTTGGTTATTTTGAATGAATGAATTACAGAGGGACTTGGAGGAGACAGGAAGTGTCTCTTCTCCGCTTTACTGCCCCTCAGTCATTGATTTTTCAAAAGCTCTCAGTCCCACCGGTCCTGTTTTGGATTGATCTTCCTTTGAACGCAGCGGCGACTGGGAGAACATTTTCTAGGTAGGGCCGTATAATCGATTTCAGCAAACATCCCAGTATAATTAACAGTTAAGGTATCAAACAGGCATTTCTACCATTACTAATTTATTCCAACACAAAAAGAGCAGTAAGTAAGTATTTTTGTAAGTTATAATGGATATCATATAGGCAGGTGCTTCATATCCTTCACAACTGTAACTGTAAATAGTGTGTGTGTGTGTGTGTGTGTGTGTGTATGCGAGACGTTGATCTCTGCCTGCATGTGTGTGTGTGTCTGTCTCTTTAAGCACCAAGTGGGTGTGATATATGATCATGGAAGTAATTACAAGAACAAAATTGCATTTTGTCTCTTGCCATATTACTGTTTTACATGTATACTTCCTTAGCATTTGAATCCAGTGTGTGCTGCTCGCTTGAAATGTGATCGGAATTTTAACAAAAATTGACAATCCATATTCTGAAAATCAGTTTTTATTTCCATAAATCTAAATCGAACTTTAAAAAGTCTAATTGATCCTCTACGCCTTGTTTCTCAGCAGGTAGCGGTCACGTGATGCCAGGATGCCTGGAGACCCACCCGACGCGTCGCCTTTAGAGCACATTGGTGATGAGAGGGGTATGGAGGGGTTTGTGGATCGGTCCGATTCTCCTTCACTCCGCCCTCCATATCCCCTGGAACTAATTGGGGAGGAAGAACCTGAGGGATGTGGACAGTAAGTGTCCTTCATTGTTTGCACGTGTTCGTGTTGTTACTTTTTTATCATGGAGAATGGTCTGTGGTTTAATGTTACTGAGGTTTACTATCCATGTTGGAAGGTCAATTAATCTGCCACTGCACAGTACATCACTTTTCATGGTTTTTAGAAAGTGAAAAATAGGCTTACAAAAAGATACAGCTCCAATGGAAATGTATTTGAAAGAGCACATGCTTACATAATCGTAACTGGTATTTCCATGATGTCTGCCCACCCGGTGGTCTGTCGACGTGTCACTTAAAACAAGAGCTCAAAGCATCACTCAGTTCTGGCCAATTTGTTGGTGTGGATTGATGTTTTTTTCCTTTTTTCAGTGCCTCGCAGAGCGCCACACACACTCGCACACCTTTCTAACCTCCATTCTTTGAGTTTGTTTCTGCAGGAGGCTGGGTGTCTTTCAACTTGTTTCACTTGCTCTTTCCTTCCAGACTGGAGAGGCGGTGGGTCCTTTGGCAGGAGTTTATGACATCACACGCCCAACTGGACGCCTGGCTACTGGTCGCTGAGCAGGCAGTCGGTGCCCCTCCCCCCACCCATGTTGCCTACGCCACTGCCAGGGAAGAAATCAGAAAGTTTGAGGTAAAGTTATAAAATTATATAAAATTAAACAAAAGATAGAATTAGTTGGTTCATATTTGAACCCAAATGTTTTCTTTATCCCTAAAGGGAAATTATTTGGCATTAAAGGAAATATGAAGACCGTTGACTCTAAATTAAATGTAAAAATATGAATGTTTTCAATTTTACTGTTAATTTGGTCCTGAATACTTTTGTGGGAATCTCTTTAATCCTCTTTTATTAAGAAATGTTGCAGCTGTGGTAAATTTGCATCACCGCTGGTATAAATAGTTTTGATGCAAAATATTCATGGGAGTCATTTTTTCGTCGTGCATGGACAATTTGGTTACTAAGGAGCAACAGCGATTTATTATGACTGGATGACCACTGACTGGGTGGGGACGGAGCGTAGCTACCGTTCCGGGGCCCAGAAGACTTCACCACATTGCTCCCCTTTTGGAGAGAGTGAGTCAAGGGGGCAGTTGTGTGTCAATCTGAGGTCACCGCTTGTCGGCGGATCATCCAGAAATGACTCGGATGATGACGCCCCGGCCAGTCCCCCAGTTCTGTGTGGCTCTGTGGCAGAAGGTAGGGCCCCTTGGCCACTCTAGGTCACCGCCTCCCCTCCTGTTCCACGGCAAAGTGGTCAGGGATCCAGCTCTGGTGCTAGAAAGGTGGTGAGATCCCCATCCTCTGCGGTTTGCTCTATTCTGTGGTTCTGTTTGATAGACTGAACACCACTTTGTGTTAGAGTATGCAACAACACTGTTTTACGGTTTGCACATTTGTGTGACTCATTACGAGCTGTAGAATTGGAGGCTAGTCTGCAGTACTGCAGGACTATTTACATTCTCCGCTGAAATCTAAGCAAGATGTAATATCTTAACTATGAATTATGCTTGTTTTTGTTTCACAAGATATGGTGCAAATGGGCTATATAGTTCTTAAGATCAGAACAGAGCAGTGTAGTGTTACACACTTAGACACTTTAGATGTGCAGATACTTTTGCCGTATCCGATATACAATGAAACATGTAAACCTGATTTCACTGTGTCACTGTGTTCAGAGGCTGCGATGCGAGGCCAGGTCTCGGCTCGTTCAGTTGGACCGTATGACCCAGAGGAACAGAACGCTGACTCGGCTGTTTCAGGGCGCCATGCAGGCCCGGCTTCTGGGGTCAGTTAGGGATTGTGGGCAACGATGGGACAACGTGAACACCAAACTGGAATCCATCACTGGACGATTGAAGGTCAGGGTTCCTCCTCAAAGTATTAATGATAATATTACTACCTTTTATAAAGGAATTTTTTTTTATCTTTTATTTTTTTATAAAGACTTTTGTAAAAGAAACATTGAACTATTTTCAAACTGTCTGAGCAAAAGGATATGCAGACGGAGAATCTGTCTTTCCCTCCCTGTCAGGTCCTTGTCTCAGAGTGGGAGGGATTTGAAGCAGAGAGGGAGGAGCTTGCTCTCTGGTTGGCTGAGCTTGACGTCCGTCTGACCAAGGTGGATCACCTGACAGGAAACACCTGCGAAAAGTTGAGGCACCTAGAGGTGGGTGTTAAACAACCAAATGCATGATCTATTTCCCCCCTGCTGTATATTGTAATGTGTGTGTGTGTGCGTGTGCGTGTGTGTGCGTGTAGTCCTTCCAGCAGAGTGTGTGTGAGAACTCGCGCCGTGTGAACGTCCTGCTGCAGCGCGGCGAGGCCTTGATCCAGAGCAGCGAAGCAACTGATGCTCGGCAGGTGGAGGGTCGCCTGCTGGAGCTGCTGCGGAGCTGCAGCCTTGTCTACAGCAACATCGCACAGACACACACGCGACTGCTTAGCATGAGACTGGTACACACACACACACACGCACACGCACACACAAGTGTAGTTGAATAATTCATTCTGAAGCTTGCTGCTCCATAGTGTTAAATTCACCAGTAATCACTGCTTCGCTATGAATAGAAATAAACTCCAACATGAGTAGTTCTACATCAAGTTTACCAGTAGTACTTAAATGTTTTAGTGTATGTAGGACTGGTATTACTACTAGCAATTAAAGAAAGGCGCAAAACCACCGTACATTCGTTTGCCTCTGCCCTTCCTCCTCCTCCTCCTCCTCCTCTAGGTGTTTGAGGATGACTGGATTCTGTCTCAGGCTACAGACTCTGGTTGTCCTTCAGAGACTCTATTAGAGGAAGAGGGAGCACTTGACATGGCCGACCTCGACCTCCCTGCTTTTCCAAACCGCCCAAAATGTAAGCCGCCATAACAAACATCTCATTACAGGGCTACTATCAATAGTGAATTCAACAAAGATCAAACCCTTTCTCCATCCATCAAGTAGCTTACCCCACCTTCTCCTCAGTTCGACTTCGTCCTCCTCCTCCTCCGTCCCCTAGCTCTCCCACCCATGAGCACCTGGGGCTGGAGTGGGACCCCTCCGTCGATATCGGACATTCTGTCTCCCACGACGAAGCCGACTCCTTGTATTTCAGTGCCAGCGCGGGTAGGAAGTGACGCAGCATTTCCAGACACAATAGAGTTCTTGACTCTTGGTATTCTTATTTCTCGACGTGTGTGCGTGTGCGCGTGTGCGTGTGTGTGTGTGTGTGCAGCTCTTTCTCACGACGATGGTGTGAAGAGGTTGAGCTACCTCAGCTTGGTCGACTCTCTTGATGATGGCAATGACATCACCAATCAGGAAGCAGATCTGGTGAGTGACGACAGTTGAAGCAGCCATTGACTCCAACAGTGCTGATCAAATATGAATAAAAGAATAAATAAACATCTAATTAGAATGTTTACACAAGAAAGGAGAAAATGTGTTTTTGCTATTTATTTTGACACTGCTTTCTCAGAACATGAACTCAGATTATATTAGTCATAATGCTCTAGAGCTGCAACGATAATGGATTAATCAATGAGTGGTTAACTATTCAATTAATTGCCAACAATTTGGTATTGATAATTGGGTTTGAGAGGAAATTGAATATAATGGAATATTTTGTAGTTTCTCAACTCCCCAATAAATATTAGCTGAATATTTTTAAATAAAATTAAATTTGGTAAAGTGCGAATGGCAAGTTCAGCCACACGATCGCTCCTTTAACCCGTTGGAAGGACACAAGGGAGCAGCTAAGCTCCTCCCACTCTCTGCAACGTGAACCGCTTATGGAATAAAAGCTTAGTCCAGATTATATGACTTTCATATGAAAAATGCATCTCTGTGCTTCTGTGGTGTCGTGTTCCCATCGTCCGTTCGACCGGTACAAACCAGTTCACACACAGGAACAATTCATGCACATTTCCATTGGTTACTCTCTTATGTCTAAAAGGTTTTGATTAGCAAGAGGTGCTAAAATCATTTGACCTAATTCCAATGTATTTATTAATGTGTAAAAATCCCAACTGAGAAGAAGAAGAAGAAGAAGCCACATTGGTCCTAATGAACAAAACCACGTGGTGTTTTTCTTCTAATTTCTGTTGTGCTCTGACCCAGATGCTGCATGGCCCAGAGGCTTTGTCTGTCTGTGACTCTCTCTCTCTCTCACACTCACACACACACACACACTCACACACACACACACAGTCACTAATGTTCACTAGCAATCTAAAAATGGTCTCCACTATGTGTCGGCTGGTTACAACAGTTCACCTCCTCTTTAGCTCATTTATTGATGACTCCCGAAGGATGTGGCTTTATTTTGGCAAGAGGCAGAAGTGTGAGTGAGCCTCTCCACTAGAGTGGCAGAGGGAAACTGAAGAACAGAGGAAAAAGGACAGCATCCATGTTTTTTGGGGGGAATCTCATAAGAGCAGAACACTTTGCAGGCATTTGAGTATCCTCCTTTGCAAGTCTGCATCCCCCCCCCTCCCTCGCCTCGCTGCCTTTCTGCCCAATCCTCACACAATGTTGCACTGTTGGTGAGTCCCAAAACCCAACTAGAAAAAACCGAGGTACGTAAAACTGAATCCGCTGCAGCTGCAACAAGGACAAAAAAACAAAAACGGTGGCATGACTCTTGTCACCCTTCTGGTTTTTCTTTTTTCTTATGTACTTATTGGAAGTTTAAAGGTGTGATTTCAGTATGCCGCATGAATTCTGAATGAACTAAAACCAACCTTTTATCAAAAGGAGGCATCATTTTTTTCTAACACGTCATTCAGGAGAACGTTTTGTAGGCGTGAATCAAATCATGATCATACTGCTTTCATAACTTTGTTTTCTACTACATCTTCATGTGGTCCGAAAGCAAAACGCCTATTTTCCTAAACTCTTTTGTGTAAATCATCTGTTATCTGTGCTGGAATTGCAGAGATGGCTTGGCCAAACCCACCCCAGCGTCCCCTCGCCTGTAGCCACCCAGGGGGGCGAAATTCGGCCAAACGGAGAACTGTGGGCGACCTCGACTCCTGACAAACTGGATGGTGAATCAGTTGGCTTTGACGGCAGGCGTGTGAGGGCGTGGCTCGGTGTCCAGGGCCCCGCCCCTCCAAGGAGTACAACTTCCTCTTCAAAAGCAGTTCAGACTGACGTGGAGGTGGGTGAAGTCACCTGTATGAATTCATTTTTTGATACGCATTTCCCCTATCACATTTTTTTAATGTTATTTTGGTTAATTTTCTTCATGTTTCCTTTTTTCATATTTTAGTTTACACTAATATTAAATCATGTCTCACGAGAGGGCACATTGGCCCCATAATCGGTTCTTGACACCTTACCCAGTCCACAACCCCTCACTGCTCCTGTCCCGCTTGGATCACACGCCCTTCATTTTCACTTATAAACTCAACTAACCTGACCTGCTGCAGTAGGTGTCCTCCGAACTCCATTTAGCCGAGATGACACATACAGACTCAACACCAGCGTGCCTGTCCTGGCTGGTACAATCCAACAACACTGGCATTATTGTTTCTGCCTCTTGTTTTCTTCAGCATTAACATTCAGCACATGGCGTCACATGAACATAATCTGTGCATGTAAGGACGCCTGACCGGACTCCTGAGACATGCTCATGTCCTCACACTCTCTCTACTCGCAGGGCCAATGACTGAGCTCGTAGGGACCCACCTTTACTCTGCCAGTCTCAATCTGAGGGGATTCAGATCCTGACTAATGCAAACAGAATCGCCCGCCCCATCATACCGATTCATCACATCACGCACTTTTCTTTCTGCTGCGTTGATTTTCTCAAGCTGTTTGGCAGGTTTATTGACAACAGCATTTTTGACAAGCAAGCTACAGGGAAATAAATAGGTCAGGAGTGGTCCCGAAACTAAACTATTTACTTTAAATGATCTAGACTCCTACACCCACATACCGAAAGTGTTGACCTGGATCTTGTAGTTACTGAACATATTTAAGCTGAGGCTTGCAGATGGTGAGCATGGGACACACCTGCTAAACATCAGTGTGGTAGTATTGTCATTGTGAGTTCATTTTCATGCAGCTTTTCACACCCGTTATTCATTGGAAATGTGTGGGGAGGGAGAGCGGTTCCGGTGTATTTACTAGTCTTTATGAGAAGGGGCATAAATGAGTGAAAGGTTTATTGATTAGGGTTATACGAATCAAAGTGGCAGCCTTCATAAGAGAATGTTGACTTCTCTAAGTGCTCAGGAAAGGTGCTTTAAGGAACACAGGCCCGTCATTTTTAAAGAATGTCTTGCAGCAGCAGGGATCTCCCGTTGTATAATATAGTGCTTGTTCCACAAGTGATTGGTGGATGCTCATCAGGAAGAAAATGTCTCTTGTATGCAGAGTTATATTCAAGTTCTGTTTCAGGGTTAGGGTTCTGTTTCAGTATGACGCAAACATTTCAAAGTTATGTAAATGTGATTTATTCTAACACGTCAGCCCCTGTGTTTTAAATAATGTTGCTAAACAAATGACATCTAACTCTTGTAAAGACAATTTCCAGCACACACAGAGGAATGTCTCTCATGGGAAGCTCCATCAATATTCATTATCGTCTGTCTTCATGTCAGTCATTCACAAAGATTCCTGAATAACGGTCCTCTATGATCCCTCCTCTTCTGTGTTGTCTCTCTCTCAGCCTCTCTCAGGTTTCCGTCTCCATCACTCTTCTCCCCCTCTCTCATTACCGGTGAATTTGGCTCCTATTTACTCCCCTCTTCTCCTCTCGCCCGCCGCTTCACGGCGGCTCTTGATTTATGCATTGGATCTGGCTGCGTTTTAACTTGTCACAGAAACAGGGGAAAAACAAACAATCTTTCTTTTCCCTTCCTCTTTCCTTCCTCCTTCTGTAATCCCTGTTTCCTCTGTCTGGCGTACAACCTTTTACAGATGACCGGACAGAGGGAGGGAGGAAGACAAGTTTGAAAATAAGTTTGTTCGGGGTCAAATTGTGTGTCTGGTAATTAGAGCGATTTTGTGCACACATTTGCAAAATGCAGGTCTGATTGAACGTATCTTTGTGTGTAATAGCGTTGGCATTTTCTAACTGCGGTTCATTACTGCCAAAACTATTGAGCGAGCATGAAACTAATTGTGGGAGAAATCCACTTGCAAGCTTAGATTTTGAAGTAGCAAAGAAAAGTATCTGGAGTTCATTGTTTTTGCATTGAATGCATTTTGGCTACAAGCTCTGACTGAGAGCTAAACAAACTCTGGCTCTACCTCCACCTTTTAAAATCTGCTCCATCACCTCTTGGGGACTATTTTTTTTTATTGCTAAAAAGAGAAGATCAGACAACTGATTTTAAAATGATATCTAATATTTAAACATGTATAAATAGATAGACAGACAAACACACACATATATATATATATATATATATATATATATATATATATATATATTATATGTGTGAGTGAGTGTATATATCTTTTCACATACACATAGTATGAAACGGTCACCAATTAGATTTCATCATCTGTATCAGACTTTGTCTAATTGTATTTAATTGATGTGTGTCAGTGTCACCACAGAGTAGCACCCAACCAGCTGGCTTTTCATGTCAAGAACACACAACTCTTTTCTGGGCCCACTCCTTCGCCATCACATGACCTAAATTCCTCCTCTCATTGGGTGAAGCTCCAATGCGGATCACCGCAACAGAGCGTAAAGGTAAGTCACTGGGGTCAGTCGGCTATCTTGTCCCTTGAATGATGAAGCAGATAAATTCGATGTGTTTGTAGGTGCAGCTTTCCTTGAAAGAGGCTTGTTATCCCAACACATGATATACAGTGTTCAGACAGCCAGAGGGTTTCACCAGTTCACTCTAATGAAAGGATCCACAAGTAATGTCGACTGGTGGAAAATAAAACACATGGCAGCCTTTTAAATACATACTGGTAATAAGATATTTCCTCTTGGGGGGATTAAGTGTGCGTGTGTGGGCGGATTTCTGAGCTGATGTTCTCTAAGGTTTGCTATGAAGGTAAGTATTGCTGGATCAACAGAGGTTCTCTGTCCTGCAGGCTGAAGAGGAGCAGCCCTGTTGGGAGGAAGTTGAGCGTCGTCTCTCCAAACAAAGGTCAGAGACTAGATGTTCTCAGATCAGAGCGATAAAAGATGCACACCAGCTGCATTTCTGGGGATTTCTAAACCACAGACATAAGCAAAACAGTGTGCTCTATGTGCATGAAGATACAACTGTTAGAGAAGAGCACAGTAGGGTCAGCAGGAAACAAATGCGTCTTTGATTGGGGCAACTAGTGTTTGTCAGTTGGTGTGTTTGTGCCGCTCTCTCCTCACTACTCAATGATTACTGCTGAATATATAAATATGAACTTTTCACAGTTCCAAGTTTTTAGTTTCAGACAGATTAATCAATTGTTTTTTGTAGCAACTCAAATAGTTAAATTCATTTTATTTTGTAGAGCCCAAAATCGCATATTTGTCTACACATGCAGCATCCTCTGTCCCGAAACCCTCACATCGGCACAGGGAAAACTCCCCATAAAACCCTTCAAGGATGGACACACTGTAATGGATGTCATGTGTACATAATGAACAATGTAAAAGATTTACAATACATTCAATTCCTAAAACAGAAACGTTGTGAGTAGTAAGCCAGACAGGACCACTGCAGGGACAAACCCCATCAGACAGAACCGCCAGAGGCCTGTGGGGAGGGACAGCACAAAGACCTCAGGGAAGAAGCAAAGGTGCTAATGGTGGTTCAGGATGACAGTAATAGTAATGTGATTAATATTAACAATGATAACAGCAGCAGTTGTCTGCAGGGCCGTGGCATGAGGCAGGAACAGCATTCACACAGATCCATGGAATCCTGTGAGGCAAGAAGGAGAATTAGTTGTGTGCAATGAGATGTGAGTTATACAAGGAGAGCGACAGGGTCTGTCCTAGGAAGCCCCCCGGCAGTCTGGGCCTGTAGTTCATCTAAGGGCTGGTCCAGGCTGAGCCAGCTCCAACTACAAGCGGTATCAAAGAGGAAACCGCTACATAACTGCCCCGGAACTTTGTCTCTTTGCCTTGTAACCTGTTACATAATTCTTTCCAGCTAACTGTGAATCATCATTAAATTACAAACCTGTAAAATTAAGGATTACCATTTTATTTCCTATAATAATGGACAATGCTGTTCAACAAAGCGCTCTCTTACTTAATTCTAACGGTCTTTAGGAACCACCATGAAAAATTTTACTTTTAAAAGATGGACTTTTTGCTAAAATCAAGGAAAAGAGACAAAACCTGAGGTTTTGTTGGCAGAAATACAATGATCCATGGATGAAAAGGGACAAATATTTAGACACACAGTTCTAAAGAATTTAAAGTTAATTTTACTTCTAATATGTACAGTAGATCATCGGTGACTTGAGGAATCTTTGTTCCAATTGTTTGTTGGTTTGATGACTTGAGGTGTGTTTTTTAGATATTTTTCTCCAGTAACTGATGGACTTTTAATACTGCTACAGAGTTTGTCTCCAAACCTAGAGGCTCCCCCCTGACACTGTTCCCACTCCACAGTGTGACCCCCAGCAGCAGGCCTCCCTCTGCCCTGCCCCCCCCGGCCCCCCTCTGCCTCCTCCTGGCTGCAGCTCTGGCTCTGCTGGCCGGTCTGATCTGGCTCATCGTGGAGCCGGCGTATCACTGCAGCAGCAGGGCGCCTCGGGGCTTCCACCTGGCTCTAAGGTACGTCAACGGACCCCCGCCTACATGAAGACCACCCTGAGACCCTCATGACCGCCGAAAAGTCATTCATTCTCAAAAGAAAAGGACTCCTAACATCATAGCATTAGAGATGTGGAGAGATGAAGCCAATAGTCGTAGCCAGAAAGCCTCTGTGCCTTGCATTACCAAAAATATTTAATGAAGCAGAAAATAATTGTTGTATTAGAAGATGGGTTGGCTTGCTTGCACAGGTTCCAATTTCAACTGCTGTCTGTGATATTGTAACACTTTGTTTGATGATTTATGTCCAAATTATGAAGAATGTCCTACGTGATTTCAATCACTGGCTGCCTTGTTACACTGACAGCACTTGTATTTATAATTCATCAAGATGTTTTGCAAAATGACAAAATGGAATTATTATTTTTTTTTTTAATGCATCCATCACCTATTTATACATCACTTTTGGCCTTTTCTCAGACAAACAAAAGTGTGTATGAACTATGTTTTCTCTTTTTCCAGGCTGCTTTTGTTTTCAATTAATTGCTTGAAGACTTAAACAGTCAGCGGAAAAATGATCCCTTAATGTCAAGACAAATATCTATTTATTGAAGCCAAACTGCTCATTTGACATTTTTCTGTACAACTTCCCCACAGATAATTTCACTGTGACCAAAATAAAAGCATGATGAATTATTTCCAGCAATAGTTTCCCCCCCTCAAAGACACAGAAGCCATTTTGTATTTACTATCGCTGTGAGATTTTGACTAATTTATAAAGGAAAGAATGTGAGCAGTTCTTGAGTCCTTGAGAAGAAACTTTGACATGTGTAAATCCCACCAATGTCAACATCAGCGAACGACGAGGGCAAATGAAGACAATAATGCAGAAACACACACACACACTGCAGTACACAGGGATCACAGGCAGTGAAACACAAACATGACGGTACACAGTTTGACTTGTTCGACGGCCGTGATGCCGGACGCTGCTGCCTGGTGTAGCATGTGGGGTCAGGGAGGACGGGAGAGTTTCAGGTAGCCATTATGTCCCAGATGTGTGGAAAACAGCGGTTTGTGAATTGAGCTTTGCTTTGGACAGCGAGCGCCTCCCCACCGTGAGTCTAAGCCGGTTGTCTTTTTGTCATTTTATCCATGGACATTTCTTCTTTTTAGGATGACACGGTTGTTGAGTCGATTCTCTTGTTTGTTGGAGCAGCTTCATACAACTCAAATGTCTCAGGGGAAAACGTCTGCCCAGGTTTCCTAAAAGGTTTCATTTCAAGAGGATGACATTACCGTCCAATTTTGTGTCAGTGGCTGCAGGATGATGAAGACGTTGTGTGTTTGGCAAAATCATAGAAAAGAGAACTTCTAAGTCTAGAAAGATTGAACTTTTAGTTTGTCATTGTTTCAGAAACCGATATTGCATCAAGTCAAATGTTTATGCTTTTGTACATGTATTTCAATATGACCAATAAAAGGAAATGTATGAAATATCTTGTCCATGTTGCGGTACTTTGGTCTGAATGTAGAAGAAAGATCATGTGAGAAGTGGGGGAGCCAAACAGACATGGATTTGTTCCCTTTCTGGAAGTCCAAACTGAGAGCTTTCTTTTTTATCTCATGCATTCAATGTTTGAATTAGTTTATTTTCCTCAAAGAAATGGGAACCAGAAAACAAGTTTCTTTAGCTATTCCTTTGTTAGCTAAAGGTGTATATGTTTTTGCCTTTTTCAGTCCAAATTTAGTCAACTTCACCTATTTTAAGAAGGAAACGGGCTGCTGTGGGCCAGCCTACACCAAAACAACCCAACCGCTGCTCAATCCATGAACTCCAACAACGCTCCCGTTCCCACACATCCCTGTATGGAACTCAGCACGCACGCATGCATGCACAGTAGTGTCACAGTAGTAAATAGAGTAGTGTCTTACTCTAGTTTTGCAGGTTTGAGAGCTGGAACGCGTGTCCTGAGAACTGCGATCAGTGAGACCGCTAATACACAACGCATAGGACCAGCCTGTATCTGTGTGTCTGACCATCCATATGCATCATCTATAGACAGAAATCCTACTGGGAAAAGATTGTTTTTGTGTTTGCTTGTACTTCTGTCTGTGAGAGAGTTTTGAAAAGTGGGGGAAATGTACGTTGTGTGTCGGGTGAACGCACGTTCAAGCAGGTTTAATTGAGGTTTAAGGCAAGGCAAAGCAAGGCAATTTTATTTGTATAGCACTTTTCATACACAAGGCAGACTCAAAGTGCTTCACATCATAACATTTCATACAATAAAGTGAAATAAAATGCAGGAATTAAAAGACAATTAAAAACAGCAAATAAAATTATGAATTAAAATCTTATTTAAATTGTTGTTGTTGTTGTAAAATTTAGCAGAAGGCGAAGCTGAACATAAAAGTTTTCAGTCTTGTTTTAAACGTGGTCAGAGTTGGGGCAAGTCTTAAATCTTCAGGAAGTTTATTCCAGCTGTTTGTTGCGTAGTAACTAAATGATGCTTTCCCATGATTTGTATTTACTCTGGGAATCACTAACAGATTGGTGTCAGAAGATCTTAGTGATCTTGAAGGCTTATGTAGTGGAAGCATATCAGTGATATACTTTGGCCCTAAACCATGTAGTGATTTATATGTGAGCAGTAGGATTTTGAAATTAATTCTCTGACATACTGGGAGCCAATGTAAGGATTTAAGAATTGGTGTAATGTGCTCACATTTTTTGGTCTTTGTTAGAACTCTAGCAGCAGCGTTCTGAACAAGCTGGAGCTGCCTGACAGTTTTTTTTGAAAGACCTGCAAGGAGACCATTACAATAGTCTAGCCTACTAGTTATAAAGGCATGTACAAGTGTTTCTAAGTCTTGAGCCCTCGTGCGACATTTTTGAGGTGGTAGTAGGCCGATTTTGTTACTGATTTGATGTGACTCTCCAAGTGTAAATCTGAATCCATAATAACCCCCAGATTTCTGGCTTTATTTGATGTTTTCAGGGACAGAGAGTGAAGGTGTTGGGTTACTTTAAACCTTTCTTTTTTAGCACCAAATACAATGATCTCAGTTTTGTCTTCATTTAGTTGTAGGAAATTTTGACACATCCAGTCTTTGATTTGCTCAATGCACTGGCACAGAAGATCTATGGGGCGATAGTCGTTTGGTAATAGCACTACATAGATTTGGGTGTCATCAGCGTAGCAATGGTGGTCAATTTTATTTCTTTGCATGAGTTAAGTTTAAAGGAAACACCAAAAATACAGTAAAACAAACTAATACAGGGAGAAATATGATTTTTGTTTTCATTAGAACTTCTGCTTGTTTGTTTACTCTGAAGACAAAATCTTCATCACAATAAAATCTATAGATGCAATAATGATACTTGAAATGTTTGTTCTCTCAGCAGGAGTTAAAGTAACAAAACAACAAAACAAAATATGTGAAACGCTTTACTTTTTTTTTTTGGCGATGCGCTAGCCTTGAACTCGGACTAAACGTCAACTTCAAACCAATTACAGTAGACAAACCATTCATGTGTCATTTCATCTTTTTGTCATTTGATTTGATTTCTCTTAATTTAATGTTTATCAGACCACAAATGGTTGTGTACATTTGCCTGTGTTTTTGTCGTGCATCTGTCTCATCATCTCTGTGTTTCTCTACCTCTGATCTCTCTGTACTAAAAAGTGTGTGTATGTGTGTGTCTGTGTGTGAATGTGGTATTGTGTTCATTTGACAGTTTTTCCTACGCACATGAGGAATTTTGCATTAGTGTGCTTCAGAGAGATTTTTTGTTTTTAGTGCGAGCAGCATCGTGGTTTCTTGTGAAAGGACTCAACAGCTAATATTTTTTATTTTGTTCCTTCTCTGCTGTCTTTTTATTCCCTGTGTGTGTGTGTGTGTGTGTGTGTGTGTGTGTGTGTGTGTGTGTGTGTGTGTGTGTTCAGCTAATGAAAAGGCTCCATCTGTTCAGAATGTTGGCAGGCCTGCAGCTGGATAAAGATGTTGGTCATATCTCATTAAAAGGTGGAAGATAATTTAAAATTTCCGTTACAGCAAACAGATCATTGAGATCAATTATTTTTATTGACTTTAAATTCTTAATTTAAGCCATGGACTGATTTCCACCTCATCAAATAAAAGGGTTAGGTCTGTAATTTTCTTCCTAAAATTAAAAAAAAAAATTAAACGGTAAATACATGTGCTTGTAACATGACTTTAAAGACCTAAAGACCTAAATTTGTCACTGTTTTCGTACACAATATTTCCAAACAAGAAACCGCACACATTACATTACATGTCATTTAGCGGACGCTTTTATCCAAAGCGACGTACAATAAGTGCATTCAACCACAGGGTACAAACTCAGGAGAACAAGAAACAAGAAAGTGCATTTTCCTCAAATAAGCCAATTTACAATTTGCTATAGATGAGTGGTGTTATAAGTACAATTTAAGTGCTACAATTTGTTAGTCTTTAGTGGAGGTAGAGTCTGAAGAGGTGTGTCTTTAGTTTGCGGTGGAAGATGTGAAGGCTCTCTGCGGTCCTGATGTCTTCAGAGAGCTCGTTCCACCATTTCGGAGCAAGGACAGCGAAGAGTCGAGACCTAGTCGAGTGTTTTGCTCTCAGTGAGGGAGGGACGAGCAGTTTTGCAGATGCAGAGCCGAGAGTGCGGGTTGGGATGTAGGGTTTGACCATGTCCTGGATGTAAGCTGGACCCGATCCATTCACAGCATGGTACGTGAGCACCAATGTTTTGAACTGGATGGGGGCGGCCACCGGTAGCCAGTGAAGAGAGCATATGTTGTCCCCCCTCTTCTGTCTCTTTGAATTGTGTATTGCGTGTTTTTCGTGTTTTTGTCGGATCGTGTAACAGGACAGTTGTCAGGGAGGAGAAAGTCCAGCGCATGAATGGACATAATTGTTTCCCCACAGTCCGCAAAATGCCTCAAATTTAGTTAGAGGGCAAATCATTCTGTTAGCCAAGGAATCTGCAAGTCGACACTCTAACACGGAGACATGAGCAAGTTCTAGAATGAAGCACTTAAAACTTTAAATTCATTTCTCATCATCTCTAGATTGGCAAACAGTGGTGTTATTTGATTTCACAATTCTAGAATGAACCTTATTTATTTTTCATTGCAGACAACCCTAATGACTCAATAAAAAGTATTTCACTTTTCATCACACAGGTCACTGGCAGATTGTCCATGTACTATTAACTTTTAATTGATATGAAGTAATTTGACGATAATTGGAACTAAAAATTAGAAACCCATGAACTTGTGTGAAAGGTAAAGGGGAGCAATGGCACTCAGCTTCAGTCGTTAGACCAAAAGCTTGTAGGTCAAAATATAATTGAACAATGTATTAAATGTAGGGCTGCAAAATACGGTATTAATCAATTAAGTGTCAATGCGGGATGCGTTGGAGCTCCTGTCATGGTGTATAGTGATATCTCTTTTAATATACAAACAAATCAAATAATTGAATTGTTTATACGGAAAATATTTACCTACGAACTACAATCTTGACCCAGAAACACCCAAAAATGCATAAGTGAGGAATAAAATGAATATAAGTTTAATTAAAGCTGCAAGCAGCGATTAGTGGGCCTGAGCCTCCCCTTGCATGTTGGGGGGGGGGCAGCAGTCAGCCGGACACGTTGTCAAAAAGACAAAAAAAAATCAATGTCGGGGATGGGATTTAAATGCAGGTCTGTGGCTTCATAAACGGAAATCTCTCACCATAGGCTACGTACCTTGCTGTACAAAGACCTGCAAAAGGGAAATAAATATGTAGGATCACCTCCATTCAGTCAAGGAAAATAACGTGAGCTAATCTCACCACTTCTGCTCCAAGTATTAACTTTAAGTAAAGTCTAGCAGATATATTTTGCGAACTCAACACATTGAATGTGTCTTTGCAGAACACCTGTGTTGTACTGAGCAAAATAAAACATGTAAAGGGGGAGCTAGAGAGCCATTTTTTCATACCCACAAATCCAAAAATCTCAAAACTGCAATTGAAGTGGTGAAAGAAAAAAAAAAATTCTTGGAAACACAATAGGGCTTTGCCCGACTTTCAGTCGGCTCAGGCCCTAATAAACAAGTACAATCAATAAAGATTAAATATAGGAAAAGGACCACATGTTACAAAATTGAATCAGTGGATTGTAACATTGATTAATGTTTAGAAATTAAATTAGTCATTTTACTTACCAATTTAGTTTAAACATGATACATTAGGGGCGGCACGGTGGAGTGGTGGTTAGCACTGTCGCCTCACAGCAATAAGGGGTTCAACTCCGCCCAGTGGCCTTTCTGCATGTTCTCCCCGTGTCTGCGTGGGTTCTCTCCGGGTTCTCCGGCTTCCTCCCACAGTCCAAAGACATGCTCTGGGGATCAGGTTAATTGGTGACTCTAAAATGCGCGTAAGTGTATGAATGTGAGTGTGAATGGTTGTATGTCTCTGTGTAGCCCTGCGATTGGCTGGCG